ATGTCACACGAATTTGGTTTAATACGGCCAAATTCGATCATGAAACCTCTAGATCTAGAGGTTTCATGGTCGAATTTGGCCGTATTACCATGGAACGCCGGCGAGAAGGAAGAAAGGAGATGGAGAAGTACGGTGAAACGACGACAATGGTTGTGGTGGTGTTGCGTAGCGGCGATTGGTGCGTGGGTCTTGTTAGTGAGAAAGGAGAAGGTGAAGAGAGGAGATGTGAGAATGGCGGAGGAGAGAGAAGGAGGGAGGAGTTCAGAGAGAAATATTAGAGGAAAGAAGAGAGGAGAGGAGAGAATAAGAGAAAAGAGGCGCATAGAGAAGGGGAGAGGAGAGAGAAAAGAGAAGAGATGTTAGGGTTTTTTTTTTATATTACTTTTTTCCGACGTAATATTCTGTCGGAAGATTCCGACGGATTTTTATTCCGTCGGAAATGTTAACATTCCGACGGAAACTTCCGAGGGATTTATATTCCGCCGAAAATGTAATTTTCCAACGGAATATTTTGTCGGAAAGCCTTATATTCCAACGAATTTTAATTCCGTCGGAAATTTCCGACGGAAAAAAATCCATCGGAACTTCTGACGTTTCCGACGGAATTATGTGTCCGTCGAAAACAGTCCGTCGAAAATCGACCTATTTCTAGTAGTGGAGGATAATCGTGCACGTATTGCGTGCGCCTCTCAAATTTTGGTGTAATAAGTGTAAGCAAAACCTAAATTGTTGTACTCTGTAATTAAATAAACTAATGTTTGAAAATATGATAGTGGGAGACAAATAAATTGCACTTGGTAGACTACAAAAATAAATCATGTTTGAATATGCAACATGTTAGCAACTACTAGTCTACTACACGTACAAACAATTACCCGAGTTTTTGTCTCCCTTCTTCAACATTAAAGTTTATATTATTTAGTAGGGCTGAGCAAAACTATTTGAAAGTCCGAAAATCCGATGATCCGATCCGTATCCGATCCGAAAATTATGGATATTTAATCTGGATATTTCGGATATCAGATATCCAAATTTTGGATTTCGGATATTCGATATCCGAAAAAAGTTGGATGTTGGACATCTGATCCGATATCCGAAAAATCACTTGTTTTTCAATTTTTTTTCTCGAATATTCTCTATTTCTCAGCCTTCTCAAAAAAAAAAAAAGGTTGGAGATTGAAACCCTAATTCCCTAAACAGAAACCCATTTCCCACCACTAGGCACTCACGCCTTTCTCTCTCTCCTCTCAAAGTCTCAAGGCTCTCAGATCTAGTCATCTCACTCCCAAATCGAATGCGCTCCTCTCAGATCTCAGTCATCTCACTCCCAAATCGACTGCGGTGACAGCGGCTTCTCCATTTCTTGGGTTCTTCCCCTCTCTTCCTCGCTTCTTCTTCCTCTTCGGTAAGTTTCTTCCTCTTTTTGCTCTCTTGTTCATTTTCTCCTCTTTTTGCTCCCTTAGGTCATTTGATTTTGATTTTGATTTCAATTTGTTAAATAAAGGCTGAATTTCATTTTCACCTTCTATTGTTGATTTCAATTCGTTTTTTTAAGTATAAATTGTTGATTTCAATTCGTTTTTGTAAGTATAAATATAGGCTGATTTTTGTTCAATTACTGGTTCAATTAGCATGTGTTCATACTGCCAATATATTTGATTAGTGACTTAGTGTTCAATTACTGCTATATGCTGATTTGTGTTCAATTAGTGACTTAGTGGCGTTAGTGTTCAATATTGTGGGTTGATATTTGATTGTTCATTATAATTAGTATGCTTTAATATTTAATTTTTGTGGGTGAATATTCTACAATATGTGGGTATTTAAATTCTGAAGTGGTCAAATGTTAATGTTGTGTTGTAGATAATGGATGATCATGATATTACTGCTGAAAGTGCTGCCCCAACTAACCCGTCAAGTGAGGATCCCTTGGCTTCAAGTGCTGTTGCTGCCGAGCCTGTTGGAGATCAAAATCCACCATCAACAGTTTCAGCAAAAAGACCTTCAATTGGGACTAGTGATGATGTAGGAGCTGAAAATAAAGGTAAGAAAAAAAGATCTTGGCTTTGGGATCATTTTGAGTTGATAAAAAAAGGTGGGGATAAAAGATCAAAATGTTGGTATTGTCATGTTGATGTGTGTGGTGACTCTAAAAGTGGTACAAGTGTTATGAAAAATCATGTTTCAAGGTGTAAGGATTATCCCCCTAATATTGAGCAATCACAAAGGCTTCTTACTTTTTCTAGTGAGCAAAGTCAACAAACTTTAGTAGATAGTATGAATAAAAAAATGTGAAAAGAAAGGGAAATTAGAATTTTGGAAGTTTAGGCAAGAGGATGGTCGAAAAGCTTTTGCTAAAATGATAATAATGGATGAAATGCCATTTAGGTTTTCTGAGCGTGAGGGTTTTCGCCATTTTATGTCTGTTGTTCAAGCAAATTTCATTATTCCCTCTTGTTTCACAGTTGCAAGTGATTGTTATCGTGTGTTTTTGGATGAAAAAAAAAATCTGAAAAGCTACTTTAGCAAGTGTTCTTCTCGTTTTTGTCTCACTACGATACATGGACCTCTTGTCAAAATTTGTCTTACATGTGTTTAATAGCCCATTTTATTGATCATAATTGGAACTTGCACAAAAAAATTTAAATTTTTGTCCAATTAGTGGTCATTCGGGTGAGGCTATTGGTAAATCGGTTGAAAAGTGTTTGCTCGAGTGGGGTATCACCAAGGTAATGACCATTACCGTAGACAATGCAAGTTCAAATGATGTAGGTGTTCAATATTTGAGGAGGAGGTTGCAAAGATGGAAAGATGGGACTATTTTAGATGGTAAATTTGTGCATATGCGATGTGTAGCCCACCTTCTTAATTTAACATTGAGGGAAGGTTTGAAAGAATGTGATGAATCAATAAAAAGAGTACGTAATGCTGTGAGATTTGTTAGATCTTCCCCTGCTAGATTGCAAAAGTTTCGAAATTGTGTTAATCAAGAACAAATTGAATCAAAACGTCAACTTTGTTTGGATGTTGAAACTAGGTGGAACTCCACTTATTTGATGTTAGAATATGCTATGGTTTATAGAAAAGATTTTGATTTGTTGGAAAATTCTGATGGTGGTAAATTTCTTGCTAAACTAACAAAACTTTCTGGTGTTCCTACTGATAATGATTGGGATCGTGTTGCTTCTTTGCTTCCCTTCCTTAAGATATTTTATGATGCCACTTTGAGACTTTCTGGATCTTTTTATGCTACTACTAATGTGTATTTGCTTGAACTTGTGACAATTTGGAAGATGATTAAAAAAAATTGTGAAAGTGTTGATAGTGGTGAGATGTTAATGGCCTATGGGATGAAGAAAAAGCATGAAAATTATTGGGAAAATGTGGATAACATTAACATGATGTTGTATGTTGCTGTTGTGCTTGATCTTAGACGCAAAGTGCATTATGTGAAGTGGGCTATTAATGATCAATATGACTCTGTGAAGGCTGCAAAATTGCATGATATGGTCATGAATACTTTGACTTCGTTGTATGAATATTATGCTTCTTTACAAAGTCAAAATGTGCCAAATGTTTCTGAAAATATTGATTTGAGTGCAAGAGACTTGGAAACTTGTAATGATTGGCATGATGTGGCTGATTATGAGTTTTAAAAGGATATTGGTGGACAAAAGATTTTTGATAAAAAAAAAGTGACTTGGACAAGTACTTAATGGATGATAAAGAGCCTATCACGGGTAAGAATTTTGATGCTTTGGGATGGTGGAAAAAAGGGGTGGAGAGATATCCTATTGTTGGTCTTATGGCCAGGGATGTATTAGCCATTCCGGTTTCTACGGTTGCATCCGAATCTGCATTCAGCACTGGTGGGAGAGTACTTGATGTGTTTCGTAGTTCTCTTTCTTCACATATGGTTGAAGCTTTGATATGTGCACAAGATAGTATGCGTAGTACACGTGGTTCACTTTTGATTGAAGAAAGTATTGATGATATTCAACAAATTGAAGAGGGTAATACTTTTTTTTTTTTTTTTTTTTTTGAAGAAACTTTTTTTTAATATCTATTATTTATTTAAGCTGAAATTTACAAAATGTTTTTGTTTTTTTTCTATTTTATTTTCTACAATTATTTGTATGTATTTATTGTATAACTTACTATTTTTTTTAATGTAGAGTTGTCTTCTCTTGTTGATCCTCCCTCGGTATCAGTCGTCGATGATTATTTTTAGAATTAGAGGTAATACTATTTTATTGGTTTGTATTATTTTTTTTTAATGTTATAGTTTCTGCATTTTTTTTTTACTTTTATTATGTTATAATTTCTGCATTTTATTGTTTATATTAATTGTATACTTTACTATTTTTTTTTTCTTTTTTTTTTGTAGAGTTGTCGACTTGTCGTCTCTTCTTGATACGCAGTTTCGTTGTTGATGATAATTCTTAGTATTATATTGCATGTTTATGTATTTTTAATATTTGGACATTGGTTTGTTTATTTGTATTAGATTTCGAGAAAACTCCTCAATGTGGAGTGTGTACCATTGATCAATATATATAGAGTTTTACAAATTTCGTAAACCTAGTACGATAAGGATACAAAATACATACAATTATTATCCTAATCTGCGACAAATATTATCATAACTATAATATGTAGCACACCCCCGCAGTCATAGCGGGAGGAGGTCGTACGCTAAGGCTGGATCTAAAATCCAAAAATAACTTCCGTGGTAAGCCTTTCGTGAAAATGTCCGCAAACTGATATCTAGAAGGAACATGTAGAACTCGAACTTCTCCCAAAGCAACCTTTTCTCGAACAAAATGAATATCCATCTCCACATGTTTGGTGCGTTGGTGTTGTACCGGGTTGCCAGAAAGATAGATAGCACTGACATTATCACAATAGACAATATTAGCCTGTCGAAGAGGGCAATGTAACTCAAGTAAGAGATTACGGAGCCAACATGCCTTAGAGACAACATTAGCGACGCCTCAATATTATGCTTCTGCACTCGATTTAGATAATGTATGCTGACGCTTAGATGACCAAGAAATGAGGTTGTCCCCAAGAAAGCAGCAATAACCCGATGTAGAACGACGGGTATCGGGACAACCTCCCCAGTCAGCGTCAGTGTAAGTAATCAAACGATGAGAAGCAGATGGATATAAATGTAAGCCATGATCAATGGTACCCTGAACATAACACAGAATGTGTTTCAATGCATCATAATGAGATTCCTGGGGATCATGCATAAAAAGACATACCTGTTATACCGCATAGGCAATATTTGGCCTAGTGAAGATGAGATACTGAAGAGCATCTGCTAAACTGCGATATAAAGTAGGATCCCGAAAAGGTGGTCCTACATCTTCACTAAGTTTATACTTAGTGTCAACTGGAGTAGCTGCAGGTTTACAAGAGCTCATACCCGCACGCTCTAAAATCTCATGTGCATACTTTTCCTGTGAAAGTAGCAAATAAGAAGGAGTACGGATCACCGCAATCCCTAAAAAGTAGCTCATAGGACCCAAATCAGTCATAGGGAACTCAGTTTGTAACTGAGATATAATCTCTGCACGCAACCTGTCAGATGAGGTAGCTAAAATAATATCATCAACATAAGAAGTAAATATGCCATATCATCACCCTACCGGAAAGTAAAGAGAGAGTTGTCATTTTTGGTAATGACAAAACCCAATTTGATTAGAAAGTTCGCAAATCGCTGGTACCAAGCTGTAGGAGCTTGTTTCAAACCATAGAGAGCCTTTCGGAGCTGGCAAACAAAAGAGGGTGCACGCTAATCAACAAATCCTGGGGGTTGATGCATATAAACAGTTTCCTGTAAGTCACCATGTAAGAAGGCATTTTTAACATCTAATTGATGAATCGACCACTTTTTAGCCATAGTTTTACTTAGAACAGTACGAATAGTGGCCGGTTTAACTATCGGACTGAAAGTCTCATCATAATCCACACCAACTTTTTGCGACCTGCCATCACATACAAGACGAGCTTGTGCCTTTCAAGGTCACCATTAGACTTGTATTTGTGTTTAAATAACCACATACAATTAACAATATTCAATCCCGTAGGCCTAGGTACCAGATCCCAAGTCCCTATTTTAATAAGAGCATTATATTCATCTTCCATCGCCGCATTATCATTAAGAGCAATTTTATATGACTTAGGGAGCGGTGACTTATGAGAAGTGATGGTCATATTTGCAGAGTTATATATGGGGTTGGGTTTAAAAATTTCGTGTTGACTCCGTGTAACACGAGGTGAAGGAGGTGGTGGTTGGGTAGGCCGAATTGGCAATATACCACGTAATGGAGGGGATGTATAAGTTGTGTTATGTGTTGGTGGAGTAATGGGTTGGTTAGGGGAGGAAGGCCCAATAACTGGAGGGGGTTGTTGGTGTGTCCGCATAAAATTAGAGGGAGTAGTATTAGATTGTGGGCTAAAAGGTGGGGGAAAAATGGGCTGATTTGGTGATGGAGGCAGATCAGTCCGCAGGTGGGCTGCGGTAGGAGAGGGTGGGCCGCGGGGGTCCTGTGTTATGGACTGATCCGCATATAAAGGGGAGTGCTGAGGAGTTTCAATTTGTACTTTGAATATTCCTTTGTTTTGTAATGTGACAATTAGTATGCAAGTTCTCTAAAATTTCTTTATATTGTAATATGTTATAATTAGTTGGACTTCAGGTTTTTTTAGTCACTTTGTGAGTTTGTTCTTAGGTTATTCAATCAGTCACTTTGGTTTGTTCAGGTTATTTGATTACTTAAGTTATTCAGGTTATTTAATTATTCAATTTGTTCAGGTTGTAATTTGCCTCTAAAGACTAAAACAGCAAAATAACTAAAATATACATATGAATTTGCCTTTTAAAAAAAATAATTTTACCTTTAAGAGCTTAATTTAGTATAAAATGATTAATATTAAATTATTAATAAAAAGAATCGGATACTGGATATCCGAAATTTTCGGCCTTCGGATCAGATATCGGATATCAGATATCTTAATTTTCGAATACGGATATCCGATCCGAAAGTGGATTTCGGATCGGTTATCTGATCCGTTCTCGCCCCTAATTTAGATTGCTCTTATTGCTGCCACCAGCCTCAGCACCATCGATATCAATTTCGCTGCATCAAAAAATGTGTCTGCCACCGGCAATACCACATCTGGCATCATCGCCTATCTCGTTCCCACAATCGCCACCTCCTTCGAGGAATCGTGTAGCAGTGGGAGCGGTTGTTGTGGGTAGCATCTTGGTAGTGGTAATGTTGGTTGTTTTGTTTCGTTTTTTGTTCAAGAAATGGCGGGGTAGAAAAAGTCAAGGCAAAAACACAGAAATAGCGGTTGGTACGTCCACTGGTCTTCTGCATCTTTGATCAAATGCATTTTCATAACACTTGTAATACTGTATAAATTTTCTTGACAATATATGTAATTATAAATTGATCAAAATTCAAAAGTTTTTAGATGTAGTACAAATTACTCGTGCTTTATTATGAAAACATAGTATGAAAGAGGAATTTGAATTGACATAATTGTTTATTTGTTAGTTGTCATGTTTGTAGAATAGTTTTTTTTTTTTTTTTTTTAAAAAAAAAAAAATTTAAAGGTATGTAAGAAAAATAAACAATAAGAAACTCTCCTCACGAGGGGAATTTCTAATGTATTTGAAGAAAGAACAGAAAACAAACTAGAGGTATTACTAACATTAATATCCATACTACTAGATACTAAATGGCTCACATTAGTTATTCAATCCGCTGCGCGATTTGCCTCTCGATAGACGTGCTGGATATTCTAATTACGAAACCGTGAAAGGAGAGAACGAGTGTCTTCAATAATATGCTCGATCTGCCAAGGTACTGCCCAAATGTCTTTTATTGAGTTGATGACTAATAGGTTATCACCTTCAATTTCAATGTTCTGAATGCCACATTGAAGAGCTAGTTGGACTCCTTTGTGAAGAGCTGTAGCTTTCGCTATGAATATTTTGGTGTTGGCGAGGTTAAACGTAGATGCCTTGATGAGTGCTCCGCTGCTATTTCTCTAATGATGATTCCTGCTGCTGATGAGTTGTTACGAATCGAACCGTCGAAGATGAGTTTGAAGTTCGGGAGGCGTTTTCCATGATATACGAATAGATGAAGGGTATTGAGTATGAGAAAAATGATTATGGGATCTCGGAATGGGAGATCCCATACATGGAGGAAAAGGTAACCATGAGACTTCTTTGGTGCCACTCAATGAATACAAATTGTGCTCGGTAGTAAATCCTAAAGATGTTAAAGGCTTCATTATGGAAGATAATAACATTCCGCTCTGTCCAAATACTCCAAATGAGGAAGATAAATTTTCTTAAAGTGTTTGAGTGTTTTTTTAAGTACATTAATGTTTCGGTTAATTTTAAAATAAGGTTGAGCAATCTAACCACTTTTTGCCATTGACATCTATCTGGATGAGCTCTAAAGGTTGGTTAGCTGCCCAATTATCGATCCAGAAAAAAATATCTTTGCCATTACCTATTTTCCAACGGATACCTTTTCTCAAAAGTTCACATTGAGCAAGAATTTTTCTCCATATATGGGAATCTTTCACACCGTGTTTGCACTTAAAAAAGGATGAACTATGAAGATATTTATCCTTAATGATTTTCACCCAAAGATTATTTGGGTATGTTTATAATTTTCAGCCTAATTTGCGATAAAAGCTTTGTTAAGCGGTAAGGTTAGATGAAGGCCAAGGCCTCTAGCACTCTTTGATTTACAAATCTTATCCCATGCTATAAGGGGATTCTATTTTTATCTTTTTGTTGTCTCCAAAAAAGGTTTCGGTGTAGGGAATCTAACTTCGTTGCAATGTCATTTGGTAAAAAAGAGGATGAGCACAAGTAGGAGGGTAAAGCCTCTAAATTGCTTTGGAATAGGGTATGCCGTCTAGCTTTTAATAGAATTAAAAAATAATTGAGAGGCAAATCGAATAGCCTTATCCAAAAAAATAAAATTTAACAAAGGACCTGCTTGTTTCATCCGATTTTAACATATTTTTACAAGTTCAAATAAATTAAAAAATTAAATTAAATATTTTTTAACAAAATCAAATAAATATTTCAATTTGCAGCAATTTTGGCAAGCTAATACACCAAAACATTGACCCAGTTTTCCATGGCCAATTGAATAATCACTAGCCGAGTAATCCCTGATAATCCCAACCACACCGTGAGCCACATATCAAAATTTGTGTTTTTTTTTTTGTTCACTTTACTTTCTGGTCACCACATTATGTCAGCGTAGAAGTTCTATATCCATCCAACCGATCAAGCTCGATGACCAACATATAAAAAAAACTTAGTTCAAATCCATGGGCCCATAAAACCCCAGCCCAACCCAAAACTTCTCCACAATTAGGGTTTCCAACCCTCCTCTCCTCCCTTATAACCCCCTCATCTCCCTCTCATTCTCTCACTCATCCACTTCCTCTCATCTTCTTCCCCAAATTAGGGTTTATGGTTTAAGGGTTTAGGGTTTTTCAATTTCAATCAATCGATTCTCTCTCCCAATGAAGAAAGATTCCCAAAAAAAGATAGGAAGTGCCGTCTGACACATTAAACAAACAGATTTCGAAGTTACAGAGTCTAAAATCTCTCAAGAACTCGACCAATCTCCGTCGTTGATTCTTCCTTCATCCGCCGTTGATCTTCCCATCCACCGTTCATTTCGGTCGGGAAACCTCGTCTTTTGTCGGCTTAATCAACATTCCCCGGTTTTTGGTTTGTCTTCTGATTTTTTATTCTCTTCTTCTTTCTGTTGTGTGTGATTATGAACGGGTCTCTGAGGGGAATTTGATTATTTAATTAATTATCATCATTTTTTTTAATTTTTTAAAAAATGACGGTCCGATGCCACGTCGTTAATAGCATATAATGCGATGATTATCGATGCTATGATTAGACCAACATTAATCTTTAATTAGTGTTTCGCATTTTGATAGGAATCCGTTGGTTTGTTTTCAATGATTAAACGGAGCCGTTTTGTGCGATTACATTTTTAATTTTTGAAATTATAGTGATAAATAAATTGTATTATGCAGTCAAGGATGAAATTAAAATCAAAGTTGGAATTACCGTCTGATATATATTGATGATTCTTGACTCTCTTACTGAGGCTACATAATATATACGAACACTGTTTTTAAACTCACTAATTGTGATTATGGTTTTAATTTTAATAATTTTGATTAAGAGTCGTAATTAATTTAATTAAAGAGGTCGATGATGCTAAATTTTAAGGCTTGTTTCTCAAAACATTCGCAGTGGCCGACCAAGAGCTTTCGTCTGCGCAGACTTGAGAGCTAATGCTGTTGTTATCCTTCCTTGGATGTCTGAGATCTCTTTAATTTACCATTTTTGCCTTTTAATTTTCAAAGTAAAATTAAATTTAAATGTTTTCAAGTTTGATAAATAATGTTTTAATGACAATTTAGTGTGTTCGGAAATTAGCCAGTGATGAATTACATTAAAAAAAATGTTGGAATTACCGTCTGATATTGATGAAAGACTTTTTCCTGAGGCTATTAGTTTCTAAGTTATACAATTTGTATAAATTGAGTACAGTAAATGTTATTATATTCTGTATCATCTCGGAAGCAGGAGAATTGATAATGGGTTTACTAGAGATCGGAAAATTGAAGTAGAACGAAGAGGTCGATGATGATAAATCATTAGGCTTGTTTCTCAAAACATTCGCAGTGGCCGCCTAAGAGCTTTCGCCTGCGCAGGCTTGAGAGCTAATGATGCTTTATCCTTCCTTGGATGTCTGAGACTTCTTCGTTTACTTCAAGTAGTTCTGGGATGAAATGTTTTAGTTGACCAAATCATTAGGTGAGGAGCAAGGAATTGGCTGTGTATTCTGTTAATGAACTATGATTATGTAGTATGGTTATTAAAACTAGTGCTATACATTTAGACTAAGTTTGCTTAATTAATGTGGTTTATATAGATTAAGGAGGTTTCATCAATTGAGAACGAAGTTATCGGGTAAATTGCAATAATTTTAGGTAGGCTATATGAATATGGTCAATGAGCTTTGATTGTCAAAGGCTGAATGTCGATTGCAGGTCGTATTTGAGTGATATGTTCCGGATTTTTGGCTTGTTATGTTGAGCAAATCACTATTAACACTTAATAAATGATTTGCTCAGCTTAG